AAAAAAAAATACAAACAAATTTCATACCAAATAAAAATTGAGTCATTTTAGAAACTTCCACAACAGGTTGGAAGTACAAAACTAAGACCAACACATCCATAGATTATAATTATTTTGTATTTAGTAAATAAAACACTGTTAAGAGTTGCCCAGTGGTCTTTTGCCAAAAATTAAATAAACAAAAAAACATTAAAAAGAAAAAAGATAAAAATCAAAATTAAGAAGCAAGAATTTTTATGACACTTAATCATAAAAGCATTGCCTGAGAATTTGTTAGCTAAATTTAACGAAATTATTTTTCTCATGTGATTAAGAACATAAAACTTTTGAAAATTGTACTAATTTTTCTATTTAAATATAATTTTATTTTAAAAATAAACAGGAAAGGGTTTGACCTGATTTTTGGCTCATTTTTGCTCATATTTTAAATATTATCCACGCCCCTCTAACTGCCATCTAGCAAGTATCTAGATTCTTAATAACAAAAAAAAACAAAAAAATTAATTTTTGTTTTTAGCAGTGAAAAATTAAATAAATATTTTTATTTTTGTATATTGTATATATATTTTTTATTTTCTGAGAGTCCAAGTGATATAAGACAAAACAACCAAGAATTATTGTAGTTAAATTATTCTTCTTGTATAAATAATTTAGCGAAAACGACATTAAGTAGATGAGCTGAGCGTGAAATATAGTGACGACTGATATATCATTTAAAAATTAATTCATTTGAATTTATGTTTGTACGACTCACAAGATACAAGATACAAAAATAATTATTTAACATTTTCAGAATACTTGTAGGTACATAAATTTACAGAGTGAAATTTATTTGTGTAACGCAGTATTCAGTCACAATAAGGACGGGACGGACACGAATTTGTTGATGAATTAATTTAATTGTTGAATTATTAGGCTCCAATTAAGTTATATTACCGAAAATTTGTTTTTGTAAGATTTATTGTGAGATTTATTATAGGAGAAATTGTTAGATTTATAGTTAGTTTAATATTTATTTTATAATATTATTTGCCAGCTCTTTGAAATATTTTAAAGAATTTTCGTATTGTGTTTATAATATTTAAAAAGATCTTATAATCAATAGGGCGTAAAATATGTAAATTATTTTACATTTTCTCTTTGAAGTTTAATTGTTTTTTTACAAGATTGTAAATATATTATTCACACATCCAATGTTCATTCCATAATAAATCTTTTAAATTAAACAATATTGTTGAAGAAGTAGCTTTAATTTATAATAATTATTATTATTGTTTGAAACATATAACATAGTATGTATAAGAAAATAATAAATAAAATAAAAATATATAATGTATAAGAAAAACTAATACATATAGTATAGCATAGTAAGTTTAAACTAGCGCGGAATCCGTTATGTCCGGGCGGCACTTGCAGAATCGCAAGAAATTATTATCCAAGCCAACAAGTTTTGAGATCAAACTTTCAAAAGTATATTCTCTACTTATAATTAATTTCAATACTCTACTACTTTTTCATACATATCGAACTTTTTTACTCAAATGAGTAATAAACAATATATAAAGAGTAATGGCTCTCAACAAAGTAGAACACTACGACCATCACTGATCTTTCGTACTACTTTTCGGCCCTAACTAAACAGAAAACACTAGACATATGAAATAAAAACATCTTTTGTACTACTTACTAACCAGAAAATACCACACCAATGGAATAAAAAGAAAAATAGCAGTTGTGGATGTTCTCATTCTAATATCAAAGCGGATAGATCCTCCAGTAATGTTCCTCCAGAGAAGAAAAAAAATGTGACTGGATCTCTCATTCACATCCAAGAGCACTCAATATTTTACTTTCTCAGACAGATACATCTTGTTTAATTGATATAGCAGACATGATGGCCCGCTAGATAAGCAGCTAACAACCTATAATCTATGCTGTTGAGCATAAATTCTTATCAGCTTACAGACCCGAACAATTAAACGCATTTATTTAAAAATGTTGGCAAATATTTCGTTCTTTATTTAAGAATTTCATCAGTACTATATAATAACATACATTAATTTAAAGATAAAATACTAACATCAATATATATATACCTTATTTTTTATAAAATGTAGTAATTTTTCTGTTCCACAATAGTCATTAGTAATTAAAATTGAATTAACAAATAAAAATAAAAAAATAAAACAATTAAAATTCACACATTAAAAATTAATAAACAATTTTTTGGACATAAATTACGAGCATAACAAAACTAAAAAATTTTTTTAATATTAATATTCCGCCAAAAATAATAATAATAATAAACGTTCTCTTTTTTTATATCTCTTATTACTCAATAAGAAGAAACTCAACAGCTGACTTTTATTTTCTTTTATCTCTTATTTTTGATTAGCTTGTATTTATCCAATAAATTAGAGTAAAGTGTGCTAAAATTATCCGTGTCTCTCTTGTAGTTTACAACCTGTTCATTATTTAATATGATGTGAATAACTTCACTCATTAATCTTTTATGATAATTATTTTCAATTTCCAGAATTATTACTTCATCATAGTTAAAGCTATGTCCTTTAGAAATAGAATGTTCAGAAAGAGCTGTTTTTTTCCCATCATCTTTACGTTTACACGTACTTTTGTGTTCACCAACTCTTTTTGCCAATCTTTGTTTGGTTGTTCCTATATAAGCTCTATTGCAATCATTACAATTGATCTTATAAATAAGATTTGACAAATTTTCTTTCTTTTCTTTGTCTTTAATCTTTGAGAATAAATTTCCCGTTGTTTTCAAGTTGTAAAGTACAATATCAATTATTTCCTCTTGTTTAAATAATTTTGAAATTTTTTGAGAGAGTCCCGGTATATTAGGGAACTTACATCTAGGTTTATTGTTATTGACATTGTCAACTGTATTTTTTGACGTTTTTGTGCATTTATAGGACAGAAAGATTTTATTTATAAAATACTTAGGATAATTATTATTCATAAGCATCTGTCTAATTTGTTTCTTGTTATCAACCATAAACTTGTCATCACTGAGACTTGTAACTCTGCTAATCAAGTTACTAACCGTATTAATTTTTTGGTGAATTGGGTGGTCTGATAGAAAATTAAGTAACCTTCCCGATGATGTAGGTTTCATATACCAGTTTGTAATAACTTTATTATTGTCCGATCTTATCACCATTATATCTAAAAATGGTATTGTTCCATTGCGTTCAATCTCATACGTGAATTGAATACTCGGATTTATATTATTAAAAATCTCTACTGTCTTCTCTACCTCTTCTTTTGGTATTGCAAAAAGAGTATCATCTACATAATACATTGCCAATTTTACTTCATATGGTAATTTTTCCAAAACATTTGATATGATAATTTCCATAATAAAATTAGCTAATGATGGTGAAGATGGGTTTCCCATTGATGTTCCATCCAATTGGTGTATAATTTTGTGAT